TATTGTATGTATTTGTTTGCATTCCAGTCGCAAGAAAGATTAAAGATTAAATAACAGATGCTTCAGCAAATTGTCATCCTTTACTCACCTTCATGTTGTTCTGAAGCTGAATGCATTTCTTTATTCTGTTAAACACAAACAAATGAAAGTCAATAGAGTCCAATATCTCCATTTCTGCAGAAGAAAGCAGGTCATTAAGGTTTGGAACAACATGAAGGGGAGTACATGATGACAGTTTTTAGTTTTGGGTGAACGATCCCTTTAATAAAAGACTAATAATGCTCTGGAGATTATATTGAATGAAAACACAGAATAAATTAAATGAACTGAGCTGAAAAATAAATTAAACTGCTTTAGTTGAAACTGAAGGTGTAATTATAGCTTGTTTCCTAATTTGAGAATATTGTCACATGAACACTATTTTTTTTTTGTTCATTACTTTAAAGTTGCTTTGAAACATCTATATCATCTGTATTGTACAAAGTGCTATATATATGTGATCCTGGAGCACAAAACCAGTCATAAGTACTGTATATATTTGTAATAGCCAAAAATGCAAATACAGTCAAAATTATCCACTTTTCTTTTATGCCAGAAATCATTAGGACATTAAATAAAGATCATGTTCCATGAAGATATTTTGTAAATTTCCTACCGTAAATATATCAAAACTTAATTTTTGATTAGTAATATGCATTGCTAAGAACTTCATTTGGACAACATTAAAGATGATTTTCTCAATATTTAGATTTTTTTGCACCCTCAGATTCCAAATTTTCAAATATTGTCCTATCCTAACAAACCATACATCAATGGAAAGATTATTTATTCAGCTTTCAGATGATTTATAAACCTCAATTTCGAAAAATTGACCCTTATGACTGGTTTTGTGCTCCAGGGTCACAAACACTTAAATTCCATTAATAAAAAAGAAGAAATTTCAACAAGAAATGTACATCTCACACAACTAAAAGCTGACCGAAAGTGCTCATGAAACAAGCAAAGACGGCCGAATCCAGGTCACGTATTTCTGGACCTGCATGACTTTAATTGAAATGAATATGAATCAAACCCACAAACAATACATTTCTTTCAGACAGTGAACAGAAACACACCCTCTACATTTTTTGTTTTATTTTATTTTATTCTATTTTAAGTCCATTCCTTTTAACCACATATTTAGCAGTCAACATCAAAGTAGCCCAATTCTTAAAAAGTAACAGCATAGAAATGGCTGTAAAACAGACATAAACCTATTTCGTTTAGCTTACAGAGGCAGTGCATGTTGAAGGACGAGTGTGTGTGTGCGAGGGTGAGTAAGTGTG